GAAAGTAAGAAATCACAATATCTGGAGGAAGAGTCTTCCGGGGTGGGGGAGGGGAGAAGCAAAGATGAAATGCCCTGGATTGGAATGTGTCTGGCATACGTGGGGCTCATGGGTGTGGTCAGGGAAAGAGACAGTCAAAGAGAGTCCTGACAAAACCACACTTGTTCCAGAGCAATTTTGGGTGTACCCAATTCTTCATCCCACTAAGGGCCAACATCAGAGAACCAATACTGTGGGATGCGGGAATAGACTTCACTAAAAAAACAACAAAAACCATCACTAAACAAACAAAAAAGCAAATAACAATAACAAGTACCAGAAGGAGAGTACCAGTGTCCAGAATTGTTATTATCTAAAATATCCAGTTTCCAACAAAAAAATTTATGAGGAATGCAAAGAGATAGGAAAGTTTGACCCATACACCTAAAAAAATTCAGGCAATGGAAACTGCCTCTGAGAGAGACCAGATGTCAGATACAATGGAAAAAGACTTTAAAGAAATTGTTATGAGGGGTGCCTAGGTGGCTCAGTCGGTTAAACATCTGTATTCAGCTTAGGTCGTGATCCCAGGGTCCTGGAATGGAACCCTGCATTGGGCTCCCTACTCTGTGGGAGCCTGCTTGTCCCTCTCCCCCCTCACCACTTGTGCTCTCTCTCACTATCTCTCTCAAATAAATAAATAAAATCTTTAAAAAAAATTGTTACGAATATGTTAAAGAACTAAAGAAAACCATGATTAAAGAAGTAAAGGAAGGTGTGATGATAATATTCCATCAAATAGAAAATATCAGTAATAAGCTAGAAAGCACATTAAAGGAATTTCTTCAGTTAAAACAAGAATAAGTGAAACAAAAGATTCACTTGAAGGGCTTCACAGTAGATTTGAACTGGCAGAAGGAAGAATGAGCAGACTTGAAGACAGATCAATAGAGATTACTCAATCTGAAGAGGAGAGAAACAAGAATGAAGAAAAATGAACAGAGCCTTAGAGAAACATTGGTGTGGTAACTGTGCCAACATTTACATAAGGGGAGTACCAAAAATAGAGCAGGAAACAAAATAAATAAATAGAAATAAGAAAAGGAAAAATATTGTAAACAATAATGGATAAAATCATCCCAAATTTATTGAAAAACACCAGCACATCCAGGAAGCTCAACACACTCCAAGTAGAATGAATAAGCAAAGAGATATACAAATAGACACATCATAGCAAAGATACTGAATGCAAAGGACAAGGAGAAAATCTGGAAGTGGAGCAGGAGAAAAATGACTCATTATTAACAAGGGAAACCCAATAAATTAGCATCTGACTTCACAGCAGAAATAATGGGGAGCAGAAGGCAGTGGAATGACATATTCAAAGCACTGGAGGAATGAAAAGCTGTCAATCAAGAATCCTGAGAGTGATGTCACCAAGATGGCAACATAGGTTCTTCCTAACTTCACTGTTCGTCACAAGAAGAACTACTAACAACTATTTAAGAACAAGACACTACTGAGAGAATCCTAGAACATGGGTGTTAGAACTTTGGGGGCACACAATCCAGTCCCCAGAACTAGTGTTTTTTGCCTTATTATGTGGTTATTAGCATGGAGAGGAGGCTCATTGCATCGAATCGGTAGTGCTGTATCCTCAATTTTGCCTCAGTTGGACCCTCTGCTTCATTTTGTCATATCTAGACTGTTCTTGGCACATCTGACTTCTACAATCACAGAAATGAAAATTTACAATGCTCCTTCTTTATTTTGTTTATAGGCACTTTGTGAGGCCCTGGGGGTTGGGACTCCAACATATGAATTTGGGAAGTACACAGTTCTGCCGGTCACAACATCCATGGTGACCTGTACATATTCTTTTGAACATACCAACCCATTTCCTTGAACTTAGTTTTTACTAAGTGATCTTAAGTTCTTCTCCTCCTCCAATTAAATAAATTCCTGTTTTGATTATCACAGCCCTTTCAACAGAACTCATTTTTCCATGTTTTTCTAAATTTATTTCTTCCCATAAAAAGAATTTTATTTATGATTGTTTCTCACCTATTCTTACTGTTCCCCGACACCACCTCTCAGTATTGTTTTCCTGTATAATGATAGCACACTCCAGGGGCACCTGGGTGGCTCAATTGTTAAGCGTCTGCCTTTGGCTCAGGTCATGATCCCAGGGTCCTGGGATCAAACCACCCATTAGGCTCCCTCCCTGCTCAGTGGGAGGCATGCTTCTCCCTCTCCCACTCCTCCTGCTTGTGTTCCCTCTCTCGCTATGTCTCTCTCTGTCAAATAAATAAATAAAATCTTTAAAAAAAATAGCATACTCCTTATTTATGACAGAACCTGTTAACTGTTAACTCACCCTCTGTCCAAGATAAACATAGCTGGGCACTAGTTAAAGTGGTAAGGACAGATTTTAATTAATAATATACTATTATGATAGTGAAAAGAGTGTGAAATGAATAGACTCAATTTTGACTTGTACAGAGGTGCCTGGGCATTTTAAAGGGAGACAATAGGAGGGTGAGTGGAAGCTCAGTAGAGTCAGGGAAGTGAAAAAGTTGTAAAAGGCAGCAAACAGGGTTTGGTCCATGTGAAACCCTTCTAGGTTTGTTAAGCTAGTTTTAGGTCAACAGTCCATTATAGGAGAGAGAGTTTTGATGCCTTCAATTTATTTTGAAAAGCATAAAAAGACTCCATGGATGTTGTTACAGGCTGAATCATGTCCTTCCCAAATTCATATGTTGAATTTCCAACCCCCAGTGCCTCAGAATGTACCTGGGACTTTGTATTGGGACTTTGTATTTGAAGAGGTAATTTAACTAGGTAGGCTCTAATCCAATATAAGAAGAGTGTATTAAGATATAGAGCATGGAAGAAGACCATGTAAAGACAGAGAGAAGTCAGTCATCTGCAAGCCAAGGAGAGAGTCCCTCAGAAGGAACTAACCCTGCTAACACCTGGATCTTAGACTTGTAGCCTCCAGGATTGTGAGAAAATAAATCTCTGTTGTTTAAGTCACTGGGTCTGTAGAACTTTGTTTTGGTGGCCCTAGCAAACTAATGTTAAGGGTATAGGGGATTGAGGATAGATACATGATAAAGTAAGAAGAGGGAAATGTTAATGGTAGAATCTAGGTGTACAGATGGTCACTGTAAAATTCTTACAAGTTTTTGGTATGTTTGAAATTTTTTTGTAAAACATTTTTTTTGGGGTGAAAACTACTGTAGAACTCATAATTTGGGTTTACCCATTCATAACATATTTAATGAACAATATCAAAAATGTGTGACTTAACAATCATTAACTCCTTTTGAATGATCTCTCTTTTTTGATAGACTTATGGATGAATATCTCCTTCATAAGGAGATATTTATTACCTCTGGCTGTAATGATTATTTTCCTTTTTTATGACCAAATTGTCACTCTTTGACCTCCGTGGATCCTCTCTTCTGGGTGGGCTCACACATCTCTGAACACATGCTACTTTCTTATAATATATCTGTGTTGAGCTTTCCTGCCTCAAGTTTCTGTTTTTGTTTTGTTTTGTCTTGAATTTACTTGTTTAAAAAGATGGCTTTCTTCAAGTAATTTGAACTTTTTATTTTCCATCCAGGTGAGCTGATGCCAAAGAATAAAACCCAGCTTGGCTGGGAGGAATTCTTCTTGGTGACCAACCACACTGTTAGGGTTCCTCATTTCCTTATGCACACTACGTTTATGCCACACTAACCTGGTCGGCTTCTGCCTCTTCTTCCTGGGAGGTGGGGGGTGGGGGGCGGTCAGAGCCAGGAGTCACCAGGAGTGGTTTGCAATCAAGAGAAGCCAGGTCCTCAGCCTTTGGCTAATTTATTTTTTCACTGGTAATTGTTTTGACACAGTCTGAAGAAACACTGAGCCCTTTATTATAGGTCACTATTGATAGATTGTTTGCAAGATGGCTGGAGAAGTTTATAGAGTTTTGAGAATCTGTTGTGTTTGTTCAGGAGCCAGAATGAATTGTCTTTGCTAGTAGAACCTGGCTCAGGCTCCTGTACGTTTCCATTTGTCTGTTTCTTCTACAAAGAGGCATGTTCAACCCTATTTCCACAAGGAGCCAGGCTAGGCTTACTGCTGCACAGTTGGGTTGGATGGACTATGTCTTGGATAGAGAGTTCAGTGCTGTGTCTCTTGTGCTTTTAAGTTAAAAGCAACTGAGAAATAGGATGACCACCACTTGACAAGGATAAAGCAACTAAAGGCTCAAATTAAGTTCTGGTTCTTTCCAGCAGGCAAGCAACTCAGGCTAGCTGAAGTGCTCAGTTGAGATTAAATACATCCAGAATGGGTGGGGAAGAAGGGCAGTGATAAATATCTGTTTGACTTTTGGGACATGCTGTAGCAAAAGGAACTGTAGCTTTTATTCCCACTAATTCTATTGTTTTACACGACTGAGGTTGTCTACAACCTTGAAGTCAACCTTAGGGCTGCTTAATTGTATTTTCTCAGAGAAGAAGTGATAGTATGTTCTGTCAAAAATAGAGGCCCTGGGGCATGTGGGTGGCTCAATGGATTAAGCATCTGACTCTTGATTTTGGCTCAGGTCATGATCTCAGGGTTGTGAGATCAGAGCCCTGTGTCAGGCTCTGTGCTGGGCGTGGAGCCTGCTTAAGCTTCTCTCTCTCCCTCTCCCTCTGCCCCTCCCCACCTTCCTCTCTTAAAAAAAAAAAATAGAGGCCCTAAATATAATATTGTAGCATAGGAGCCAGATGTAATGGTGGAGTATGAGCGTATCTGAATGGTATAAGGACTGGTTTCATCACACATCTCTTAATGCATCACAGCAGATTCTTTCAGCCTGCCCAGACTCCAGACAAGAGTCTGAAATGGAGGCTGTGGCATGCTGCCCAGATCCCCCCCAGCCCCACCCTGCTTCCCTCACTCACTTTCCAGTCTTGTCCCTAAGAGCATCCCCCACCCCAACATACCACCTGTACATAAATCTCCATCTCATGGTTTGTTCCCAGGGAACCCAACCTGTGACAGCTACTCTGTGGGATCTGAGCACCTTTCTCCTGACCACACACCCTCTCGTGCCCACCACCTGCTGCCCCTGGCTTCCCCTTGTGTGGAGACACGAGACTCCATCGGCGCCAGCTGGTACCCACACGCTGGAAGTGCATGGGAGTTAATGGCTATGTGTTAAACCTTTGATCAAAGGGAGATGGGAACTGGCAGATAAATTCTTCTCTCCTCTTTCATGGTCCACTGTGAAGAACAGGAATCACATGGTCTCTCTGGGGAAGGTCCTTTAAAACTGAGCAATTGTTTGGGTTTGATAATAAATGGATCCACCTCTATACCTATTGCCTTTCTTTCCCTCCACATCCCTGTTTTGGTTTTAACTAGTGCCACTATCACTATCAATTTTTAAAAAATAATTATTGCAGACTGTTTAGTGTTGAATTTCAATGTCTTAGAGGCCCTGATATATGTATATAGAGTAACCATTACCTAAGCTTTCACTCTGCCAAGTATTCCAAATTTGAAAGTATCAGAAAATAGGACTATTATTATTCCACTGTGAGAGAAATACAGCCTATATTAAAATGAGAAGACTTTGGGTGGGAATGTTTTCATAATACAATTTACAGCTCTTTGTGACCTTGACTGTGCAGTGTTCCACCAAAAACATGTCACCAAAGTTCAAGTACAAGTGGCTATATCATATTTCAGTTCTATTTCTACACTTACCTAAAATCTAGCTATCTGCCAATACTGTTATGTGTGATTCCCAGTCATTTTTGATATATTTCAATTTTTTTTCCTTCCTCCCCACTTGTGATGGATAATTTTATGTGTCAACTTGGCTGGGCCACAGTACTGAGACATTATTTTTCTGTAAATGCACTCTTATATATGAGATTAGCATTTAAATCAGTAGACTTTGAGTAAAGCAGATTACCTTCCATAATGTGAGTGGGCCTCATCCAGAGAGTTGAAGGCCTTAATAGAAAACATATGGCTCTTCTGAGCAAGAAGATATTCTGCAAGTAGACCACCACCTTTGGACTTGAACCGAGATGCTTTCCTGAGTCTCCAGCCTGCTGTCCTACCCTGAAGATTTTGGACTTTCCAAGTCTCCACAAACACAGAAGCCAATTCCTTAAAATAAATCTCTCTCTCTATATATACATACACCCGTTGGTTCTGTTTCTCTAGAGAACCATGACTAATACTCCACCTAAGAGCAAAATAATTTAAGGTTAAAAGTCAAATAAATTTTAGGGCCCTTCCAATTTTATATTCTGCAGTAACTTTACTTTTAACAGATTAATGCCCACAAAAATGCCAAAAACATTTTTCCCAATCCAATTTGGAACAGTTGGAGAAATAATTTCTTAGTTTTACCTCTCCAAGTTTTATGACACACATATTTCCAATACCTTTTAATTTGTTGGTTTCCATGAAAAGATTTTTAACATTAGGTCTCCAAATAGAAAACAGTTCCAATTTGTATTTGTAAAACTTTTGCTTTTTTAAAATCACCTTTTCCTAGAGAAGCCACAGAATTTCTGACTTCAGTATGAGGTTCTAAAGCAGGCCAAAAGATGGGAAAAATTCCTCCCAACGTTCTGCTAGGAAAAAATCGTGTTGACAACCATTGCTCAAAACACAATGCCATTTGATGCCTGATCTATATGCTCTTCCTGTCTCTTTCAGCTTTGGTCCAACAAATCTCTTCCAAAACAATTTATGCCTGAAATACAGGAAACAATGATTGAAAACACACAGAGTTCATAATTAAAAAAAAAATGTGATAAATAATGATGTTCTAGTTAATTCCATTGTGTGCCCACTGCAATTCAGTACGCTTGAGGACTATAAGCCATCCTGGAAATAATAAAACTTAGTTTTCAAAACTCTCACACATTTTGTCCAAACATTGCAAACTATTTCTCCTGCCAGTTCACATATATCCACTTGTTTCATAAAGAAGTTTTAGGAAAAAGTAGCTAATTAGTAAAAAATGAAAATGGTACATTTTCACTCAAATAAACTGAAATCTCTGAAAATTAGTTTTTTTACTCAATTAGCTAGCAGTGCAATTTGTACAATTCTGTGATCTCAAGACCAAGATTTAATCAATACTGTGAGTAACTGATTAGTTTATTAGTATTTTAGGTGAAATAATCATTTATTAGCACATTTCCAGTATATATTCATTGTATAAACTTAAAAAAACAACTTTATGGAGGTATAATTTACATACCATAAAATGAACACTTTTTTTAAATTGACACATTTCAAGTGCACAGGTATCTAGTTTTGACAAATCTTAACCTGCAATTAAGACCTAGAATATTTTCACCTTCCCAAAAGGTTCCTGCCCTTTGCAGTCTAGTGTAGAATTACATTTACAGATTTACCTGGTAACCAACATTCTACCCAACACCACAGCAAGTTCTGGCTTTTCTGGCAAGCTGGCCCTTTGTCAATTTCCCCATGTCAGTGAAACCAGGGGACTCCTCACATTTACTCATTTTCTCCTTCTCCCACCTGAGTCCTCTGTCATGGGTTCAGTCTCCATCGCTGCATGGTTCCTCTGGGTTCACAGACACATCCCCGACTTGCCTTTGAAGCCTAATTCCTTTTACTATGACAGACTATTTCCATAGCTCCCCTTTCATCCTCTTTAAACTTCCTCCACTCCCTGACTGCTTGATCAGCCTTAAGCCACTGAAGCAAAACCCATTTAATCTGGCCGAGAGTCTCACCTCAAGGCTTTTAAATTATCTTTGCAGAGTAAGTGCCGGCTGCCTTTCCTGCCACCTTGATGAGGCTGGCGATTTGAATGCATGTGGCACTGACATAATGACATGGTGGCTGCCTCCTGGTTGTCACGGTCGCCACATTGTTCCCAATCATTCTCCCCCTGGTGAAGGAAGGGGAGGAGAATGCCCTCTCTCCTCTACCCTCTTATGCTCCCGATGGACTTGGCACAGTCCCCTTATTAACCAGGTTAGTGCTACACTTCAGGTCAAAGAGCATCATAGGTTGATCATGGGGTAAGCTGAATTTCTTTAAGCCTTCAACCCTTGCCAGGGCTGTTCTGAATTGCCTGCTCTCCTGGCCCTCATCTTGGCCTCGCCTTGCAAAAGGGCCCTCTTTCTCTTTGTGCCAGCTTTTAAGCCGTTACCATCCCTTCAGGCATTAACGCCAAGATTATAATTTCAAAGAACAGTCTTGGAATTTCATCCCTAGAGGCCCCCTAGTTTTTCCTCAGCCCACCCATGTCCGAATCTGACCCTGTCATCAATCAAATGTGCACTGAGTGTTGGGTGAAGTGTTCATGGGTGGATCCCAGTCTGCTGATTCTGGTGCTAGGGCTGGTCCTGGTGACCTTGATAAGGGAAATCTGTGTCTTAAGATGGCTGACCGAGCCAGCAAGGGAGTCCCAGCCCCTGCACCCAGGCTCTTCTGGGTTCTTCTCTCTGCTCTGCTTCCCGAGTGCACCAAAAGTACCAAGTATGCAGAAGTGGAAATGTATAAATTAGCCCCTTTGTGCTTGGGGCTCAGATTTTTGGAGATCATTCTCCTCTGAGCTTGCCGATGTTAAATAAACCTCCGATCCTCCAAGATCTCCGAGTGCCATTTGGTTCTCCCATTGGGCAATCCAGTGCAGGTTCCATAACATTTGGTTCCCTGACCGGGAAACCCAACTGCGCTGGCCCATTGTTGCCACTGGTTTGGGGCAACGGTGGGGTGCTGACGGAACGAGGGATCCTAATGGAGAAGGCATGCCCTGCCTAATTTTAGGCAGTCTCTCGCCCCGGTCATCTCGGGCAGGCCCCGCTCCGCTGTTCCCGCTGGACTCAAGGAGACTTGGCAGGTAAGGACCTGGTCCCGAGGTCGGATAATGTAAGGCCTGCGGCCCCAGGATCCAGACAGGCCCACTCATCAGGGTGGAAGGGGAGCCTGATCACCTCCCAGAGACCTCTTAGAGGCCTCACAGGTGGGGATTCCCGGGGAGGGAATGTAATAACTTCTGGAGTGTGAATGTGTGAGTGAATGTGCAGTCCAACCTGGCTTGCTCAAGTGGACTGATTCTGTGACTCCACCAGCGGGCATCCTTAAGGTCCCCAGAAGCCTATGGAGTCTGAGTGGGCCCATCTGTGATTCTGTGGTGAATGGCATACAGTCTAGGGCGGCATTGGTATAGATTCCAGATTATAAATCACAACGCTGAGACTGCTATGGCTAAGCCTCGCCTAAGCTCCTTTGGGACATGGCCAGATGGGCATCTGATTGATCTCCTCACCACAGGAGGCACCCACCCCCCTTGTCTTTCTCTGTGTCACCACACATGGGAACATCACCATGGGGTCAGGGCAGAGTAAACTTATGGTTCCAGAGACCATGATCAAAAATTTCAAGAAGGGGTTTTCAGGAGACTATGGAGTCAGGATGGACCTCGGCAAGTTGAAACCCTATGTGAATTGGAATGACCCACCTTTAATGTCAGGTGGCCTTCAGAAGGGACATTGAATGTCCCAATGATTCGTTGAGTATGGCGAGTCGTAACAGGAGAACCAGGACACCCTGACCAGTTTCCGTACATTGACTCCTGGCTAGGAATTGCCCAGACCCTTCCCCCCTGGGTGCAATTCACTTGTAATAGGCAGGGACAGGCCAGGGTCTTAATCGCCTCATCCAGGATATACACTCCATTTGATCCCGAGGCATAGGAAAGCCAACAGATGGTAAACACCTCCTTTGTGGCTCAGGCCACCCCAGAGATCAGAATAAAAACTTCAGAAACTAGAGGGTTTTGCCACGTAATAGAGATTGCCAATAAGGTCTACATGAACAGGGACGTCATAGCCGAAAGGGAAGCTGACAAAAAGATGAAAAAGAAGGTCATCCTCCTCACCACTGCCCTGAAAGAAAATGATGACACAAAGGTGGGGAAGACCCCGACCACCGAAAGGGGGGAGACCCAGAACCCCCTTGGCAAAGGATCAATGTACCTACTGTAAGGAGAAAGGCTACTGGAAAAATGAATGTCCCAATCGGGGAAAGGCTCAGAAGCCTAGCCACTACAAGGAAGAACCCCGAGAGGAGGACCTCATAGGCCTTGCGGGAATAGACTCAGACTGAGGGGCCAGATTGGCATCTTGCCTAGATTTAAAGGATGCCTTCTTCTGCCTCTGCTTAGCTCCCCAGAGTAAGCCAATGTTTGCCTTTGAATGGACTGAACCTGATACAGGGCACCAGATGCAACTGACTTGGACGTGCCTCCCACAGGGGTTTAAAAACTCACCAACCCTCTTTGGGGAAGTGCGGGCCATGGACCTCACCAGCTTCCCAAGAGAGGCCACACGATGAACCCTCCTCCAGTATGTGGATGGCCTCCTCCTTACCAGTGACAGACAAGAAGACTGCACAAAAGGCACAAAGACCCTCCTACAGCTCCTGTCTCGGGATACCGAGTCTCATGGAAGAAAGCACAAATCTGCCAACAACAGGTTGCTATGGTTTCCTCCTCACCCAAGGGAAGAGAGAACTAGGGCCGGAGAGAAAGAAAGTCATCATCTCCCTGCCACAGCCCCAGACAAAAAAAGGGGCCTATGAGAATTCCTGGGGGCGGCAGGATTCTGCAGCATCTGGATCCCTCGGTTCTTGGCAATAATAAGATCCCTCTATGATCTCTTAGGGGGACCAGATCAAGAACTCCCTACCTGGGCTGAGGAAGCAGAAGCCTCCTTCACAGAGATAAAGACCATGCTGGGGTGGCCTCCAGCCCTGGGCCTACCAGATAGAAAAACCCTTCAATCTCTTTGTAAAAAATAGTGCTTGGGGTACTCACCCAGACTGTTGGGCCCTGGCAATGGCCAGTTACATATCTGTCAAAGAAGCTAGACCACGTGGCAGTGGGATGGCCAGTGTGCCTCAGGGTGCTGGCAGCCACAGTCCTACTCATCAAGGAGGCAGACAAATTCACCCTGGGGCAAGAACTTAACGTCAAATAGTATGCACAACTCTGGGTGGGTCGAAGCCTTCTTGACCAGGACGGAGCAGAGCTGAGAAGTAGCTAAAGTCCTCTTGCGGGAGATCATGCCCCGGTTTGGCCTGCCATTAACAATCCATAGTGACAATGGACCTGCATTTGTAACATTGTACAGGTCTTGACCAAATCTCTCAACATCACCTGGAGACTCCACACGGCTTACCCGCCCCAAAGCTCCAGGGAAAGTAGAGCAAATGAATCACACCCTCAGGGGAACCTTAGCAAAGTTTTGTCAGGAGACTAATCTCCCATGGCCGGATCTGCTACCCTTAGCTCTCCTGCATGCCCGCTGCACGCCTGGGACACTAGGTTTCTCCCCTTTCGAATTAATATATGGACGGCCTCCCCCATGCCTGGGGAGCCTTCCAGGAAACTTACATCAGGTTGGCGATAAAAAATAAAGGAGCAGCTTCAGACCCTGGGGGCCACCCTAAATAAATTACAAAAGTACACCATTGAGAGGGCCCCAGTCTCCTTAGGGTCTCAGGTATACTTCCAGACAGGGGACTCAGTTTGGGTCAAAGATTGGAAGAAAGAC